CCCCCACTTGCTCTTCTGTTTGTATTTGGGTCTCAGCGTCCATGACCTCCTCAGAGAGGCCTGGCTGGACCATCGGAGCTAAGGTGGCTGCCGCCTCCTGGCACTCGCCACTCCTTGTCTACAGCCCATCTGACTTTCCCGCTAGAGTTTGAGCCTTTTGATATCTTTTTCTTTTTCTTTTTCTTTTTCATTGCTTTCAGAGAGGCAGGGAGAAGGAGAGGGAGAGGGAGATAGAAACATCAGTGATGAGAGAGAATCATGGATCGGCTGCCTTCTACGCGCCCCACACTGGGGATGGAGCCCACAATCAGGGCCTGTGCCCTGACCAGGAATCTAATTGTGACCTCCTGGTTCATAGATCGACGCTCAGCCACTGAGCCACGGTGGCGGGTGAGTTTGAGCCTTTTGAGAAAAGGGCCTTGTGTTCGGCTCAGTGCATTGTCCCCAGCTCCAAGCACCTGCTCGGTGTGAGCAGTGACTTGCAGAAAGCTGCCAAACGGCTAATCTTACCGTCTCACCTAAGCATTGGAAGCTGGTTGTTAATGAGATATGTGGCTAAGGAAACTTTACAAAATAAAAACAAAAACAAACAACCAAAAAAAAAAACAACAAAGGAAGCTTTAGTGTAGAGGTACTAACCCATCTACATTTCCAGAGCAAGTATTGATAAAAGTGTCCTTATTGTTCAGTTCTCTGACAGTTCTTATTTGGGGAAATTTTTTTCAGATGACTTTCACACGACCTGCCAATCACAGACAACTCACTTTTGAAGAAATTGCCAAAAGTTCTAAGATCAGTGTGAACGAGGTATAGTGTTTGGACTGGGGCTGTCCCAGAGGGGCCGCGCTCCTGGTGGGGGCACCCTGCTCCCCGACTCAGACCACAGAGAAGTGGTGTCCTTCCCGGCATTTGGCAGCGCTGGCGCCCGCCTGACCCCGCCCTCTGCACAGGTGGAGCTGCTGGTGATGAAGGCGCTGTCGGTGGGGCTGGTGAAAGGCAGCATCGACGAGGTGGACGGGCGCGTCCACATGACCTGGGTGCAGCCCCGCGTGCTGGATCTGCAGCAGGTGACGGGGCCACCGGGAAGGAAGCGGCGCGGGGCAGGGTGTCAGGGAACCTAGTTTAATGCCGCCTGGGACCTGAACCCTGTGTTTAAAAGCGATTGTGGTAACAGTGCTGGTCATGCTGGTGGTGCCCCTTAATCCTAAAATTGGTCCTCTGATCAGGTACGTTCCTGCTTATGTGATTTGAGCCTAAATCCATCCTGCTCACATTTGCTGGAATTTAATCCTGTGGATTTCCTGTGCTTGCCGGCTCTCTTTCCTGCCAGCGTGTGAAATGTGGTGGTGGGGAGATGCCTGTGCAGTGCCGTGTCCTGCCCCCCACGCCCACCCCCCAGCTCGGGGTCCCCCCGTTAGGGCCCTTTTTGCCTCACTGTGTGCTCTCCGCCCTCAGATCCAGGGGATGAAGGACCGCCTGGAGTCCTGGTGCACGGACGTCAAGAGCATGGAGATGCTGGTGGAGCACCAGGCGCACGACGTCCTCACCTAGAGTCCTCCCAGCAGCGCCCGCTCCCCGCCATGGTCTCCCCGCCATGGTCTCCCCGCCAAGGGCTCCCCGCCGAGGCGGGTTCTGTTGGGCAGATCGGCTGCCTCTGTGAAAGCAGGACCGTGGTGTCTCCGGGCCTGCAGGGAGGGTGGGGCCCGCGGATCGGGAGGGTGGGCCCTGCGTGTGGGCATCTGCCCCCCTCCCCCACACCCGTGTGAGCAGCTTCCCAGGTGGCCCGAGGACCCTGCAATAAACGCCTTTGCCATGTCCTCTCTGGTTTCCCTTGGTGCGCCCTCCAGGGCAGGCCTGTGTCTGCAGAGACGAGGCAGGAGAGGGAATGGGAGGGTTTTGGGGGAAGTGGCCTTGGCCTCCCCTCAGAGGAGAGCGTTCCTGCACACGTGGGGATGGGCAGGGCAGGGGCTGGGGGCCAGGGACACCCCCTGCCCCAAGCCAGCGGCTCCTGTGCCAGGACCCGAGTGCCCTGTGCTGAAAGTCCGGGAGGCGGCGCACGTGCATGAACACAGGCGAGCGTTCGGTGGGGGAGGGTTTAATGAGAGCTCCCTCCCGTGTCCACGGTGGCGACTGCCCGGCCTCGCTGGGCAGAGCCTCACTCGGCGGAGCGGCTCTTGTAGCTCTGCAGGTGGGACAGCACCCAGCCCGAGGGGACCATGAAGCTGAGGAAGGTCACCACGAGCGCCGCAGCCTGCTCCTGCGTGGGAGAGCGCACGTGAGACGCCGCCCCGAGCCCGCCCGGCCCCCTCGACCTTGACTCCCTCCCGGGGCACTCGGTGCTGGTCAGGGCCTGCAGGGCGGCAGGCAGCCCAGGTTCTAAGTTGCTTGCAAACAAGGACAGGGCCTTGGAGTGGGGGGTCCTGTTCCGGACCCGGGGGCCGTGGGGCTCCCTGGATCCATGTTCTCCCTTCAGGGCGGGTTCTGAAGAGGCAGCCCTACTTCCCTGGTTTCCTCCTGGAACAGCCTGGGCCCTCCCGTGTCCGAGATCAGGTGCCAGATGGGGGCTAATCCTTTTAGCTTCAACCCCCAGAGGCCTCAGGCGGAGCTCCGGGCTTTGCTTCCTAGCACATGACCTTGGGCCGGTGACCTTCCTAACCGGGTGACTTAGGCTGGAAACGGGTCTTGTCTGCTCTCCGGGGCGGGGGAGCAGGTTAGTTTCCCCCGTGCTCTCCCCTGGCCCTCAGCCCACCCTCCCTTCACGGGTGGCGCTGCGGGTCCCACAGCACCTCCCAGCTCAGCCTTAGCACCTGCCTTGGCAGAGGCAGTGGGAGCCTGAGAATAGGCCCCAGGGACAGCTGGCTGCCGGGACCCTGGCTGCAATGGGACAAAGCCCCGCCCTAGGACAGGCCCCGCACCCGCGTCCCCTCCAGCAGCACCAGGCCTGGGAGGACGTCCCCTCTCCCTTTACCAGCCTGGCTTCCTGGGGGCCCACCCTGGAACCTTCCTCATTCTGAGAACTCTGGGCCTGCCAGCCCTCCCTGGGCCAGCCCCTGCCACCTCCCGGGTACTTACGGAGGCAGAAGTGGGTGTTTTGGCCGGCTTGGCGGAGATATGCGCCTTGGGGACCACGCAAGCCCTCAGGGGGGCTTGCAGCAGCCTGATGGCGGGGCCCAACCTCATGTTGCTGGGCCGAGCTCTGAGCTCCGAGTCCTGTGCGTCCTGTCCCTCGCTCTGCCCTCTGCTCGCTGGGCCGGGCTTGGGCTTTTTATAGCTCGAGGGGAAGCTGCAGCTGCCCCTCCTGTCCCAGGGCTTGGCAGGAAGGTCGCCTGGAGCCAGCCTCAGGCCGCAGCCTCGGGCACGTCCCCCTGCAGGGGCTCTGAGGGTTCCAGCTCCTTGCAGGGCAGGCCTGGCCCTCCCAGCAAGGGCTCCCACTCCTCAGCGGAGCCTGTGGGCGCTGCAGGGAGAGCAGCACGGTTTAAGGTGACTCGGCTGGCGGCCATGATGCCCAGGAGCCCTGGCTTTGGCATTTCTGGCTGAGCTGCCCGGCTTCTCTTTCTTGACTGGGGCTGCCAGGTGTCCCCAGAGCCCTGCTGCCCCTGGGCACAGCACGTGCGTGGCAAGGAGCGACCCCTGCCTCCGGCCCACGTGCAGGTTGGGCACCTGGGGCGGCTGCTGGCTCAGGCACCCAGCCCCCAGCAGGGCAGGCGCTGGCATCCCCGCCACCGCTCTCCGGGGGAACAGTTATCCAGAAGCTTGTTTCCTGCTCCCGGGAGACGCACCTTCTCTGCAAACATCACCCGCCCAGCCAGGTCCTCGGGGAGGGCAGGGGGCCTGCCTGTCCCCACGTCCTGCCAGATCCCAAGGCCATGTCCCAGCGTCGTCGCCAGGCACTCTGCAGGATGCTGGGTCCTGGCTGTCCTCCCGCCTCGTCCAGGCCCCGTGTGACCTCTAGCAGCCCTCCACCCTCCACAGACCTCATCGGGCTCAACCCCTAGCTGCGCCTGTCCACCATCAGGATGCATGGATGCCAGCCCTTGTCCCCATGGGGTCGAGTCCCCGAGGCCCTGGGCCTGTCCCCCCCCCTCAGGCCAAGCACCTTATCTGTCTGATGCTCACACTCACACCTGGGCCACCACCATGACCACACCCGCTGACTGCACTCCCCACCCCTGTCCGGCCTTGAAGGGTCCCCCACAACCCCACACAGCAGCCAGGACGATCCCAGAGCAAGCGGGCCCGTTGCTGCCCGCGCCTGAGGGTCCAGCCCTCACGGCCACGCTGCAGCAGCTGCCCCTCTGCCCCAGGGCTCCTGCGTGTGTTCACTTGTGTTCACGTCCAGGCCCGGGTCCGAGGGCATCGCTCGGGCATGTGCTCGTGTAGCTGGACATGAGGCCTGTGAGGACCAGCACTCGCTGCCTCGCGGCTGAGTTTGGGGCTCGGGCCTGTCTGGCTCAGCCGGCTTCAGTCCTTGTTGGCTGAACAGATTGAAGTAGGAGAGGGCGGGGGCCAGAACTGGGTCACATCACCTCCCAGGGACCTGAGCCTTAGTGTGGACTGTTGGAGGCCGCAGCCCTGAGACCAGGTGTGCGTGGGCACAAGCCCGGGGGCTGAGAACCACATGGACAGCCGTGGTCACTAGGGACAGTCGTGCCCCAGCCAGTTGGCGTTGCTCAGCGGTTAAGTGTCAACCTATGAACTGGGAGGTCACGGTTCAATTTCCGGTCATGGCACATGCCTGGGTTGTGGGCTCGGTCCCTAGAGGGGGGCGAGCCGGAGGCAGTGGATCAATGATTCTCATCATTGATGTTTCTCTCCCTCTCCCTCTCCCTTCCTCTCTGAAATCAATAAAAATATATTTTTTAAAGAAGAGTGCCTTAAAAAAAAATGGTGAGTTGATGACATGACTGCATCACCTGAAGAACATGTTTACTTTTACTTGTTGCCAAGGTAGGGCTGGTTCCGGGGCCCGCCCCCGCCTCCCTGTGGCCTGTGACCCAGGCAGGAGCCGCGGGGGGCCGAGGAGGGAGCTTGCTCAAGTGTCACCTCCAGCCAAGCCGGGTCCCTGCCAGTGCAGGCCGGGGGCTCTGCCCCCTCGGAATAATCCTTCCACCTGAAGCGATAATTACAGCTTTGGGGAGCAGCTGGGGGTGAGGCTGTGGGTTAGACAACCAGTCGCCCAGCCAGGTGGCTCTTTCTCAGGTGAGACCTGCTGAGCGCCCTCCCCCTCTTCCCCGAGTGGGTGGGGTGGGGGCCGGCAGGTGGGGCAGCAGAGTGCCTGCTGGACAGCAGCTCCCAGCAGGTCTTGGGGGTGAGGCTGCCCCAGAGACAGAGGCCCTCCCTCAGGCCTGGGTGGCCCCCCAGCCTCAGCCTCAGCCCTTCCCACCCCGCATGGCCTCGGGGCCTTTCCTACTTTCCAAGCGCAAACCTGCCCTTTCCCATTGACCCGGCTTCGGGCCACAGCAGCCGGAGCTTCAGGCCTCACCCTCACTCAGCTTTTCCTCCCCAGAACCACTTGTTCACACCAAACCCTAGAGCCCTGCTGCCCACCCCACACAGAAGCTCCCGTCCCCCCTGCAAAGCCCATTAGGTCCCCACAGAGCAGGGCCATGTCCGGGCTCCCCCTGCCTCGGGGTCTGCCGACCGGGAGGAAGCGAGGTGACCCAGAGAGGAGAGATGGTGGCCATGGGGGTCACATTGGACAAGGGAGTGAAAGGCTCTGCGGGTGCGGGGGGATGGGGGCTCCTGTAACACTGGGGGAAACTGAGGCTTGGGGAGGGGGCCGGAGCAGGACAAGCTGTCGAGGCGCCAGAATCCTCCACTCACCTCCATCTACCACCCTCCCACAGCCATCTGTCTGCCCAGATCTGTCTCTCCCGCCCCTGCTGTGTGTGGGGGTGCGGGCGGGGGGCAGCTATCGTGCACTGTCGCTCACGGGAAAGCCGCAGCCCCCCGGAAGGTCAGTGCTTCATGTGGCCCTTGGCACCACCCTGTGTCTGAAACCTGAACCTCAGACGACGCTGGGGGAGCAGAGAGAGGTGATGGGCAGACCCCCCAGCAGACCCAGGGCCCCCCAGCGCCGTGCACGCTGACGTTCACGCGTGACTTTCATCGCACAGCGGGTCCTCAGCGTGTCCTCCGGGCCCGCGGCACCGGGAACTTGCCAGCTTGACCGGGAACCTTGGGGTGTCCCCTCCCCCCAGGGGGTTCTGATGCACAGTCACGTTGGAGGCTGCTCTCAGGTCACATAAAAGCAGCACTTCACCCTTTTCATTCCAAACTGAATGGCCACGTCCGGAGAACCCAAAACCTCACCCAGGCTGCAAACTCAGGCCCTTCCTTTCACCTACAAAAGCATAAGTCCGCCCGCCTGTGTGCCTCAGGGGTTGAGTGTCGACCTAGGAACCAGGCGGTCACGGTTCAGTTCCCCATCAGGGCCCATGTCCGGGTTGTGGACTCGACTCCCGGTGGGAGGTGTGCAGGAGGCAGCCGATCCATGATTCTCTCATCATTGAGGTCTCTCTCTCTCTCTCCAATAAAAACATTTTATTTTGTAAACATACCTCCACTAAGTATGTCTTCAGTTTGGCAGGATTTCCTGGAGCTTTGGGGCTCGTGGGTGCAGACCCTGGGGCGGCCCGGCGGCCTGGCCTCACCCACCTCTGCGCCTCCCTCTCTGACACTCCGCTTCCTCTTCTGGATGTCCTCCAGGCCCGCGGCACCGGGAACCTCGGGGTGTCCCCTCCCCCCGGGGGGTTCTGATGCACAGTCACGTTGGAGGCTGCTCTCAGGTCACATAAAAGCAGCACTTCACCCTTTTCATTCCAAACTGAATGGCCACGTCCGGAGAACCCAAAACCTCACCCAGGCTGCAAACTCAGGCCCTTCCTTTCACCTACAAAAGCATAGGTCCGCCCGCCTGTGTGCCTCAGGGGTTGAGTGTCGACCTAGGAACCAGGCGGTCACGGTTCAGTTCCCCATCAGGGCCCATGTCCGGGTTGTGGACTCGACTCCCGGTGGGAGGTGTGCAGGAGGCAGCCGATCCATGATTCTCTCATCATTGAGGTCTCTCTCTCTCTCTCCAATAAAAACATTTTATTTTGTAAACATACCTCCACTAAGTATGTCTTCAGTTTGGCAGGATTTCCTGGAGCTTTGGGGCTCGTGGGTGCAGACCCTGGGGCGGCCCGGCGGCCTGGCCTCACCCACCTCTGCGCCTCCCTCTCTGACACTCCGCTTCCTCTTCTGGATCCTGCCAG